ATATTTGTGATACCTCAGTTTGCAGACTTGCGCCTTAACTCTTTCGTTCTTATTTTTCCTGTACCAACAATATTTCTACCTCTTGCATTACATAGTTCGTTCTCTCCTTGCCTTCTTTTCTGCGTTCTTCATATTACTTTCATGCTACAATCATGCGATAATCAGATTACCTTCTATGACTTTTCTGTGGTTTTGCCTGGGCACCGTTCATTCGGGTCATAAGCTTTCACCTCCCTCAAACACCCGATTTTATGGTACCTTAACTCCCGCTTAGTTTTCTTTATGCAGGAATTTCTTCATTTTGCAGTTTCTCGATTAGCAAAATTTATTTTTTGCGATTATTTGCTTACCTACCCATTACTCTTTGGATTTTACAATAATTTTTTGTTTTGCAGCTATGAATCAGTAAAAATGAGTGATGGATGTCGTCGTTTCGTGCTTGCCGGATACTCATCAATTGTAAGATTCTATAATTATCCGGATAGGGTGCGCCCGAGAATTGCTCATATGCTGTTGCTGCCAGCTTTTCGCCATGCAGGCAATGGTGGCCGATTTTTGCAGGCAGTTTACAGTGATTTGATAAACGACTCGAAAGTTCATGACATTACAGGTAACAGAGGTTTTTAATATAGCCTTTTTGGTTGTTAGTTTTGTGTTACTGGGATTTTTTCTATATTTTGCTTTTTTTGTTTTTCAAAATTTGCGGCATGCTTCCCTTTTTATCTCCAAAAAAAAAAGAACAGAAGGGGTTTTTAGAAATAAATACAATTATTACCCGTGCATCCCCTCTCGCCACTGACGCACCGGCAACTTCTCTATTCTTCTCCATTTTGAACCTCTCTCTTTCGGGTTTTTAGCAGTGCGGAAGGTGATAGAAGAAGATAAAATTGAGTGAAAAAACCAAAGGAAAAAATGAAGGCGCATGTTTGAAAGTCAAAATTTGCTCCGTATCTTACACTCTGTGAGAACAAAGTTACTTGGAATTAGACAATATAATGATTGAACATTGCTGCCAGCAAATACCGGCTGCCAGGGAAGACGGGTAACCCTCCTCCAAAATCTGCTTTGAAGCAAGCTGATGGGCAGTGCATCCCAGGCATGTGCCATTATTAGTTGTTAAAACGATCAAGCAAATTCAGTATGCCAATCAAATTTTCCGTGACGAAATGAAGCTTTTGGCTTTGGACTTTAGAGGAGCTCTGCTTCACATCACATCCAACAGCAGTTTTACATATTTTCGATGCCTGGGGTATCTGATAATTTTATACATTTGACAGCTTTCTCACTTGCTTTGACCACCACTGCATTGCCTGCTGGTGATTCTAATGCTCGTTTCGTTTCTTCGAGGTATTAGTGGCTCAAAAATTCTTAAAGAAGCATTTGGCAAGACTTCCTTTTGTGGTGTCCTTTACTGCTAACTCGAAAACCTGCCCGAAAACAGTGGCTGAAATTTTGTCAGCATATTTATCGCCCGTATGGGAAATCGTATACCTAAATTGAGTTCCGACGTGCACTTGCGCCACGACTTAGGTCATGCCTTTTTGCTCGACATTTCACCACTTCGAGATCACAATGAAGTACCACGTGGAATGGAAGACAGATTTTCAAATATAAATGTTGTTTTTTCAGTTGAAGAACCAGCAGAATCGTTCATAAGGACGCGAGATTTTGTGGATTGCTGCAACTGTTCACGGTTGAAGGAATTTCAAGCGGAAAATTTAAAGAAAGGTTTTAGTAAGGAGATGGAAAATGCTGCGCTCCAACGATTTAAAATACACCCAGTAAGTAAATATTACTCAGTTAGGTAGTAACTTAAACTGATTTTTTCTGGGCATTTGTGCGTGTGTATGTGTGTACTTGTCTGTCTGTCTGTTTATTTGTCTGCGTGGGCTTCGAGGTAAGTAAACCAAGAATCCTGGAATTTTGTTTTTTAAAGATGCGGTTTGGATTTTTTTTGCTTCAGAGGCAGGCCCGACGAGTTTACGAAATACTACGCCTGCACAACACAAATGTCCGCGATGAGAATGCAGTGAAGGAGTACCGGCTGGATGTAAAAAGAAGGCTCGAAAAACCTTTCAGAGTTAGACTTTTTGCACCTTTTTTTTGTAGAAAATATTCATATGATGTTTTTGGTGTTTGAATTCATTCATAGAATTATGATGGGTTTTTAAGGAACCAAAATTTCATCCTCCTGTGTAACTCTCAAAAAAGGGACA